TGCCTAGGATTTTTTCGTTTGAGTCATGGCATTATCATACAAGATGCCAAATGTAGCAAAGTATAGAGGAAAAGTTTCGTGATAAGAACTATATAATAACCTAAAAATTGCTGCAGTTTTAATGGCGACCGCGGTTCATTCGGTTAAAAACACGTGTAAACAAGGAGGCTGCTTTAGCAGAAAAGAGAGAATTTCTTTCTACAATATGTAAGAAAGTAATATACCCGCAAAGCTAAAAGGAATGTATTTCACAGAGGATTGGGTCAGCTGAACTGAATGAATCAGGAGTCTTAAAGTTTCTCAAAATCGTGACTCAAAATCGTAGCAAATGACCGTTATCGATAATGGAAATAATGCAGTAGGACCCTGTAAAACTGAACCATTTTGTAGTAAAAATTCAGATGTCCGACCCAATATTGGTCTTTACAAAAATTTTGATCAAGACAATTTTTTTTTTAAAACCAGAGGCAAAAGAGCTTTTTCGCACGAGCGAAAACACCCTTACTTATATATTAATAAATAAAATATGTTTCTTCGTAATGGTTATTTTGTTTTTGTGGATTTGGGCCGGTTGCTTGTTTTCCCGGGCCGGTTTCCATTTCCCCATCCACCCCTGGGGACCAGTTAGACCTACTATAAGTACTATAATATTGTAAAATCCTAAAATTAAGAAACTGGCACTTTTTCCCCTGGACCCTTCAATTCGAATTTAAATGTCTAAAATTTAAAATATATATCTTTTTAAATAGAAAGAAATACGGCCAACTACAGACAAATTTTCTATTTCATCGCAGCATCTTCATAGTATGACCAATTCAACCTCATTCTAGTAGGCTATTTAAAACAAAATATGAACGGAATGAAAAGGAAGAGCATAGAGTATCACCTGAAGATTAAGATAGGCCAGTGATTCAGTCCTATCACTTCCTTTTCATGCTTTTTTTAATACATTCTTATTATTAAAATTAAATTAACTCCTGTCATACTTATAAAATTGGACGAAAAACAAATATTTCAAATCATATTGGATGACCAATATACGTTAAAACAATTTTTAGACTCATGCATATGCACCTTTCATTGTCCAAGTTAACATCATCAATAGAAGATTAAAACCAGTTTTCATTAAACTCTTAAAAAATGCTATTATTTTGGTATATTGGACATTGGATCATTTTATTTGGACGCATGACCTATGCTAATTTATTTTTGACTATCTCTCTAGTGATATACTATACAGGGTCCGGCTCCGGCAATAGTGCGTCGGGCATCTGTAGCTCCTAGAATAAAAAACTTGAGAATTTTGTTTAAGAGCAAACCTAAAGTATGTACGAGGATGTATTTCAGGAAAATATATTAATTTCTATAGGGTGGCTCAAAAAAGTGTGTGGCTCAGGATGATTTTTTTAAGTGGAACACTGTGTATATTATTGCATTTTTGGTTTCCTTCCAGATCACTTTACATAATCCTAAAATATAAGTAAATAAATTTCGATAATTTCAGAGATATTAATAAACAAATAAAAATATATATTTTTAACTTTCTTTAAAAAAATTATTACAAATACAAGAACTGTCCTGAAATAAAAACTATATTAGGTATTTACTTTAGATGATCTATACTTACTTTGCTATAAATTTCGCAATCTTAAATCTTAGAGGATGTTCAAAATTCTACGCCAAACTTCCTAAAATATAATTTTTCTTTGTTTTTTTAATGGAACACCTTGTATATTATTTTTCTATTAGATGGAGAGTTTAAAAATGAACATTTTTTGTATTTAAAGTATTTTAAAATTTTCAATGGTTTTGCAGATACACGCAGTATTATTTCATATGGCTCTTTCAACGGTAAAATACGACAGAAAAATCATTAGGTATTGGGTGGCTTGGATTAAAATTTATTGTGGAAATTGCCATATGAAATATAAAACCGCAAATATAATCTGCGAAACCGTTAAAAATTTTGATACACTCTAAATACAAAAAATGTTCAATTTTCAATTCTTCATCTATTGAAAAAATGATATACAGGGTGTTCCATTTAAAATAATGAAGACAAATTATTTTATATTTTAGAAAGTTTGGCGTAGAATTTTTAATATCCTGTATGATTTACGATTACCATACTTATAGCAAAGTAAGTACAGACCATCTAAAGTAAATAACTAATATAGTTTTGATTTCATGACAGTTCTTGTATTTTTAATACTTTTTTTAAGAAAAAAGTCTAAAAAATATATATTTTTTTATTTATTTATTAATATCTCTGAAACTATCGAAATATGTTTATACTCATTTCTTAGGATTATGTAAAGTGATCTGAAAGAAAACCAAAAATGCAATAATATACAGGGTGTTCCGTTTAAAAAAAATAATCCTGATCCACTCACACTTTTTTGAACTATACTATAGAAGTTAAACTATTTTCTTGAAATACATCCTTGTACAGGGTGGGTCAAATTCGACGCTTTTAAATGGAAACACCCTTTTCTATAGGAGATAGACAAAAACTAATATCGGTGTCTGGAGCTCAATTTTTGTCAAAAACATGATGGTGAAAACCGCATATCGATATCTGTTACCGTTTCGGAGTTACGGGGTGTTTTTCAAAAATATGCATTTTTAACAAATCGCTGTAACTTTCTTGCTATGAAAAATTTTGTATTCTTATGAAAACATTTCCAAAGCATCTTTTTACGTAGAATTTAATGGTTTAAGTATATTTTTTTTATAATTAATAATTTAAGAATTATCAACAAAAAATTAATTTTTTAAATGGGACATCCTGTATATTTTTAACTCATTGAAAAAAAATTAAAATTACCTGGCAAAAAATATAGCACACTTGATATTTTGCTCGATTCCTCTTTGAGATATAAAGATTATTAAAATTCGCCGACTTTGAATAAGTAGGCTTTGAACGGCACCGGCTGTAATACAAAAAAAATCTAGCTGTGAGCATCAATTAAAACGAAAATAATATTTGTCATGAGAGATGCAGAATTTTATAACAATTTAAAATATATTTAACCAACATCAACACATTTAAACTATATCTAATAACAATAAAAATAAATAGCAAACCAAGACATGAGATTTTGCTACAGGTGTTTGACATATCGACCGTCTTCTGTTATGGACAGACGGGGCAGTTTTTGAACATTTCTCACGGAATTCATTAACTCAGTGAGGGTGAAAGATACCCTCTCATAACTGCTAAGTATTTCTAATTCTTGTCTAGATTATACGGAAGAATAAGGAACTTTTATTCTTCTGCAAATATATCTATAGGATTAGATCCATGGGCACTAAGTCAGGCGGCCTCGACGGCCAACAGCTGGGATCTTGGTTAGCTACTCAATTATTCTTGAAATTGGCTGCAAAAAATTTGCTGATAACTTCAGCGTTCAGAGGCGGTGCGTCGTCTTGCTGGAAAAATATGTTTTCGAGTTCCATTAAGGGCATACATCAATAAGGGGTCCAAAGTAGTGATGAGTGAAATATCGGTAACTGTAACTTTGTCACTGATATTCTATAATCACAGTCACGGCCTGTGACTGATTTGAAAATAAACGGTGACTTGCTAAAGCGTGACGATTACAGTTAATTGTGATTTCTCTGGTAACGAGAAAATACTTCACAGAGCGGGACGTCGCGCGTCGCGAACGCAGCTACCGATGGCGCCGGTCGTGACTCAGTTCACAGTCAGATGTCACGACGTACGTCTCATAGGATAGATATCTGACAAAGTGATCTAAAGACAGTGACTGTTAGAAGTAATTTAATTTTTTATGTATTTTATATTTTATTACTATTCTAAAATAAATAATAATATTACTATTATTATATTAATATTTATATATTTTTATCACTACGAATCGGTTTGTTTCCTTTTTAGTTTAGCAGGTTTTTTTAAAGCCAAACATAAAGTTTTACCTTTATACTGTTTATTTTTTTAGAAACTTAATTTTTTATATATTTCGTTTATTTTAATACAAAGGAAAATATTTGTTGTTTAATGTATTACTTATCTCGTGTTGTTAAGTTTCGTTCGTTATGGTTATGAGCATATTGCATATTTTATTCTTTTCCCGTTGGTTTCTTTAAATAAAAAAATTGTTTTATTTTTATTTTTTAATATACCTTTTACCCACTGTTTAGTGTTTTCTGTTTCAGCGGCCTTGGATAAAGGACAAATAAAAATTAGTATAACAACAACAACAGAATCGTATCATTCGTATCGTATCTTATATTTTAGCCGTGATTGTGCTTTCGGATTCATAATCATAAAGTCGCAGTCACAGTTAAGAGTCACAGATAATACAAAGTCGCTGTCACAGGTAAGCCTGTGAACAGAAAATCACGGTTTGGCTCATCACTAGTCCAAAGCCTCTACTAGTTAAAAGTGGCGAACTTTTAAAAATTCTGTATTTCAAAGGGGATTATAACAAAATATCAAGTGTGCTATATTTTTGGAAAGGTAATTTTAAATTCTTTTCAGTTAATTAAAAATATAGAGGGTGTCCCAAATAAAAAATCAATTTTTCTGTTGATAACTCTTAAATTATTAATTTTAAAAAAATTATACTTAAACCGTTAAATTCTACGTAAAAAGATGCTTTGGAAATGTTTTCATAGAAATACAAAATTTTCCATAGTAAAAAAGTTACAGCGATTTGTTAAAAATGCACATTTTTGAAAAACACCCCGTAACTCCGAAACGGTAACATATGTTGATGTGCGGTTCTCACCATCATGTTTCTGATGAAAATTGAGCTCCAGACACCGATATTAGTTTTCGTTTATCTCCTATAGAAAAGGGTGTTTCCATTTAAAAGCGTCGAATTTAACCCACCCTGTACATACTTTAGGTTTGCACTTAAACAAAATTTTCAAGTTTTTTATTCTAGGAGCTACAGATGCCCGATGCACTATTGTCGGACCCTGTATATTTCATTTCCTGTAATAATACTAATATGGAATATTTTCGATTGTAGATACCACCAGTCCCTAAAGATGCTGAAAAGTTTATCTACTTCGATCGCATGGTATCCACATATACAGGCCTATCGATAGTAATAGCAGGAGTAGCTGTCCTAACTATATTATTTATAGCAGCAGACGAATGTAGACAATGTTTCAGTAAATCACATGATCAAAGCACGCCATCAAACCTAAAGAAAACATTTTGGCCCTATGGCAAAAACATCGAAGGAGGTCATCTCAAAGAGGTGTTTACAGTTCTGGATAAATTCGGATACCAAAAAAACGAAAATCCTGGAGATGAGTGGGATTTATTATGGGCACATGACTATCCATTCAGAACCCTACAAAACGAACTAAAAAATTTAAAACCTTATCAGAAGATTAATCACTTTCCTGGATGCGGATATATCACGAATAAAGTAGACTTGGCGACGAGTGGATTGAAATATATTCCACCAGCGTTCAAGCTACCGGAAGATAAAGAAAAGCTATTAAAATACAGCGGTCAGAATCCGAATAAAACATTCGTACAAAAAAACAATGATCATCGGAATATAAAAATCGAAAAAATTGAGAATATCGATTTAGATAAAGCAGGCACGTTTATTCAAGAATACATTGATAAGCCTTTGCTAGTCAATGGACATAAGTTTGATATAGGGATATACACAATTATAACTTCTATTGATCCTTTAAGAGTATATATCTACAATGGAGAAGCGCTCTTAAGGTAAATTTAACATATTTGTGGTTATACAAGGTGAGTCTTAAATAAGTGCAAATATTTTCAGGGCTGGTAGATCTTGATAAAAGAAACTTATTTTCTCTTTGTTTTTCAAATAAGTCCAAAATAAACGGGTTATTTCACTTTGAAAATTTCCAAAAAAAATGATTTTTTGCTTAAATTTTGAAAACCACTAGATCTATTATGTGATCGAAATATTCTAACCCTTTGTACTTATTTAAGACTCACACTCTGTATAGAAAATACACTCATCGGCACGAAAAACAGGCACCTTAAAATTTTGATGTATATTAAAAATGATGTTTAATATATTATAGTTATAGTGGGCCGATTTTGATGATTTTTTAAGCAATATGTGACTAAATTATTTGACTTTTTAGTACTTATTTCAAAATTAAAATGAAAGTTCCCATCTGTCAATTATACGAGGGAAAACAAAATGTTAATATTTTGGTGAAAGTTTGAAATACCCCATGGAATATGTTAAGACCAGCAAGGAATTTAAAACTCTATTTTTTTGTTCATCTCAGTAGCTTTATTGTTGTTGGAAATATTCGCTTTTGAAGAACACACTACCATTTTTTCGTGATTGTTACATTAAAACCATGTCTTTGCTTTTGGTCCTAGTCAACAGACCTAGTAAGTTGTCCCGAAGCAGGCCTTCTTGACTTTCATTATACATTTCAATTCATTATAAATTTGAAATGATGGCAAACGGCGCATGGCGGTTTCTTAGCGATAAATTTACAAAGTCGATTGTCTCGATTCGAAGTTCTCATACGAATGTTCCTGGATATCTAGCATATGAGCCTGTCTCGAGGAAGCGACTGCACTGTACTTCGTGCACACCTAAATCTATTAGCAACATAATCTTCATCTCTATCATCTTCAATTAAAGCAACTATAGCGGATGAAAGGAAGATCAAACTGGACTTAAAACCATCTCTGCTAGAGTAACTAAACAATCGCCAACAGTCTATAAAAATATGATTTTTCAATAACAGTGACATTACATAAATCATAAACACTATTTTATAGGTCTGTTTAGGTCTGTTCCAAACACCGGAACACCGTTTTAACACCGGTGTTGGGCTGACACCGGTGGCTAAATATAGCCTATATGCGGTGTTTCGGTGTCGACACCGACATCGGTGTTGGCACAGACACCGGTGTTTACACCGACACCGGTGTTGATACCGACACCTGTGTAGACACCGACACCGGTGTTATTTCGATACCGGTGTTCATCTACAACACCGGTGTTCATCTCGACACCGGTGTTGGTCTGGACACCGGTGTTCATCTCGATATCGGTTTTGACTACCACACCAAAACTACAACACCAAACACTACAAAAAATATTACATTAAAAAAACTAAAAAAAAAACAAACAAACGGCACCATTGACATCGACACCGACACCGACGCCGGTGTCGAGATAAACACCGGTGTTGAGATAAATACCGGTGCTGAAATGAACACCGGTGTCGGTATTGACACCGGTACACCGACTGAAACACCGGTGGTCATCAACACCAAACACCGGTGTTCAAATCTCAACACCGAACAGGTCTAGGTCTGTTGACTGGCGCCAAAACTAAAGGCATGGTTTTAATGTAAATATCACGAAAAAATGTTAGTGTCTTCTTCAAAAGCGAATATCTCCAAAAAACATATAGCTATTGAGGTAAACCAAAAAGTAAACTATCGAGAAAACATACACCTATAGATGATAAAATAATTTAGCACTAGCACAAACAGTAGCACACAATATATAAAACTTTAAAATATATAATTCCGTTTTTCGTGCCGGCGAGTATTTGTTAATCAATAATTAATTTTTAGATTTTGTCCGTCCAAATACTACCCTTTCGATCCAAATAATCTAGACAAATATGTAGTAGGAGATGATTATCTACCTATTTGGGAAGTACCTGCCCTAGATCATTACTACAATATATTAGGCTTTGGAATGAGAGATAGCCTAAATGCTTTACTGCGAACTCAAGGCAAAGATCCCAGTATTATATGGTCTCAAATAGAAGAATCCATAAGGACGATTCTTTTGGCTAAGGAACCATTAATCGCAGATGTCTTAAAAAGGTGAAAACATTTAGCCATAAATAGTAGACAATGATGTGCATGATAAACAATTGCCAATATTCAGAAGCAGCTATCAAATATTTAAATTATCTGTTAAAAATTAATGATGAATGATTCTAATATTGAAATTCTTAAGTTTTTGAAGTGAAACTTCTTTACGCACGCTGAGAGTAAAAATTGAAGGCAGTGGCACACGAGCTCACGAAAAGTGGTAATGATCGAAAAAGTGGTAGGCCAATGAGGAAGTTGAGATGGGTCTTCTCGGAATGTAGATTTTTATTATTTTTTGACGTTGCGTGCACTATGAAACCCCTCATCAATGGCGAAAAAATCGTCCGATTTAAATGAAATTTGGTATGTCGATAGATTGGACCATAACCAAATTGACCGTGTAAGCCACCGTGTCATTGTAACAGTTAATTTTTACATATGAAACGTCAAAAATTGATGTCGTCCGATCGTGACCAAATTTAGAGAGTAGGCTATGTGAGCGATGGTGCACAGGGTCCCACCCTGCAAAGTTGGATACGACGTTTCGTCTACATCTCCATCAGGGTGGGACTAAGAATTTGATATTGAAGAAAAATGTGGGGCGATTACCATATACCATACCATACCGCCATTACTCGCTGACGAGTATTTGACACGCATCAGAAGATGGTCACGCGAGGAGCTTTTCTTTCATGAGCTTTTCTGTGACTGAAAAGCCCGATACGTTAAGACGTTATCTGTCTACCGCACTCCAGACATTCAAAAATCTCATTGCTTTGTTGCCTCTTTACTTTTTGGTTGTCGCTGTTAACTGACTTTACAATTCTTCGCCATTCCGTTCTATTGTGAGCTGCCTCTACCCACTCATTCTGCTTGTTAATTCCTTTTAAGTTTTCGTGGAAAATATCCTTGAACCTTTTGAGTTGTCCACCCGGCCTCCTCTTACCGTCTACAAGCTCACCGTAAAGCAGAGATTTTGGTATGCGGTTTTCTTGCATTCTGCATACGTGACAAGCCCATCTTAAGCGGGACTTTGTAATCATGACTTCAATACTCCCGCAGTTAGCTTTTTCAAGGACCGATACGTTTGAGACATGATGGAACCATTTTATTCTTAAGAGTTGTCTAAGATGTCTCTGTTGCAACTTGTTTAATGCGTTCATATGTCGGCGGTACGGCACCCAGGTTTCGCTTCCATATAATATGGTGGGAATTATTATCGCTCGGTACACTGCAAGTTTCGTTTTTGTGCTCAAGTCATGATTGTAGAAAACCCAGTCTTTTAATTTCCAGAATGCCCTTGAGGCGCTACTAATCCTGTGCTGAATTTCAGAGTCGATATTGGCCTTTTCCGAAATCAAACTGCCGAGGTAATTGAATTCCGCTACATATTCCAACAGCTCATCTCCGATTTTTATAGCATTGTTGTGATCTTCCGGGGGAGTGCACATGATTTTAGTTTTATCGATGTTCAGCCTAAGTCCCTAGACCTCGTATGCCCATGTATATGTGTTCAACATTTCTTGCAATTGCTGTAACGTATTTGCAATTAGAGCACAGTCATCAGCGTATTGAAGTTCTGTGATGAATTTTGTACGTGTTTTTGCCCTGAGTCTTTTTATGTTGAACAGACCGCTGTCGTATCTGTATCTAATGCCCAAACCCCTCTCCTGCAGTTTGCTGTCCACTATAATGGAGAGCGCTGCCATGAATATATTGAATAGGAGAGGCGCTAAGACACATCTCTGCCTAACGCCTGTGTTTGTTAGGAAGAGATCGCTCAGGTGATCCATGATATGACACTCTTGATTTGTTGCTGTTATGGAGGCTTTTACACACTGTAAGAAATTTGATGGGTACTCCGAACTTTTTCATAACTAACCCAAAGTGCATCTCTGTTCACAGAGTCGAAGGCTTTTGTTAGATCGATGAATGCAACGTAAAGTTTAGACTACTGCTCTTTTACTTTTTCCTGTAGTTGCCGGATGGAGAATATGGACTCGACAGTGACAGTACCGCGGTTGGTGCGAATACCCGTTTGCGATTCTGGGAGGATTTTTTCTATATGTGGGTGCAGGCGGTTTGACATAATTTTTGCAAGAATTTTTCCTCCGATAGCCAGTAGTGAAATTCCCCGGTAGTTTCCGCAGTCTGATGCACTTCCTTTGTTCTTAAATATATTCACTATATTCGCTAAGGTTAGGTTGCTAGGTTAGGTTGCAAAAGTCCTGAGGTACCTCTTCGCTTTCCCATATGACATCGAAGAGAGCCTTAAGATGACCAATAAGTTCTTTACTTGCACACTTAAACATTTCCGCCGAAATCACGTCACAGCCAGCTGATTTGTTGTTTTTAAGCTGTTTTATGGAGTCCTTTATTTCCCGTTCTGTTATTGGAATGTCTAATACATCGAGGCTGTTATACTGAAGTATTATGTTGAGTGCTTCCATATTGGGGTTGTTTTCTTGGTTAAGGTTATGTAATGCTCTTTCCGGCGGTTTCTGATTTGCTCTTCCTCTTTTAGAAGTTCGCCATTTTGTGCCATGATTAGGCATCTTGCCTTCTTCGTTGGACCGTATACTTCTTTTACAGCCTCGAAGAATTTGCGATAATCGTAATGCGTAGCATACTCTTGAATCTGACTAGCTTTTTGCGACCACCAGTTATCCTTTAGTTGGCGCAGGTTTCTTCGGAACGTGTTGTTGGCTACCTTAAAGTTGTCTGCTAGTCTTGGATTGTGTGGATTTGCGATTACGGCTAAATTGGGGGACGGACTACAGGATGACGCCCTCATTTCGAACCGATCGATGCCTCTAAATTGACGAAATTATCAGGATTTTTCTTAATTATTTGTCGACTGGAACCAAACTCGGCACGTGGATAGAGGTACCCAACTGGAATCCTCAGACGGACAGACAGTCCTTTTAATACAAATTTTGTGAAAGTGAATCAAATTATTTATTAATTTTTAATTTATTACTTTTTCAACATTGCAAACTAGACTTTTTCAAACGTGGCCTTCAAATCCTTCAATTTAATAGCTGCTAGTAAGAAGTTTCACTTCAAATATGCGCACATAGTGCATATTTTTTAATATGCTTATCTAACTTCATTAAAAAAATTGTTTCAGATTCAAGTATAAAAGCAACTTTTTCGAAATGATGCGTTTTGATTTTGTTATCGACGAAAATCTTAATATCTACCTCTTGGAGGCTAATATGAGTCCAAATCTCTCCTCTGCTCATTTCCCTCCAAACAGATTATTATACCAACAGCTCCTATACAATGTTTTAGGTCTTGTAGGAGTAGGTAAAAGTCTTAATAAGAACACATTAGAGCTAAGGTAATATAATTATCTTATTGAAAAAGTAAAGCATTTAGAATGTGAATTGTTTCAGCTTAGATGAAGAAAAGATGATTGTATCTGATAAACATCTGGCAACATATCCTGAAAAATGCCATAGTCAATTATGTCGTACAAGTTGTGTTTCTCCCGACTGTCAATTATGTAAAACATGTCTGTCGCCAGAAACTAGGAAATATTTAGTACAAGCTTTCAAAGAACATATTCATAAAGGAGATTGTAAAAGAATATTTCCACCTTCTTTGGTAAGTATAACTTGGTATTTAATAACACTGGACTAAAAATAAAATGGCCAAAAATACGTCTCTCTGGCGTCAGTTTGTCACCATTTTCGAACACGCGATATATTAGTTACATCCTTAGGTTACATCAATAGTACTCTACTATGGTAATACAAGGGTAATACCGTCTGATTGAAAAAAACTGCGTCCAGTTAGCTTGGAAATGACGATCAATGACAGTCCCCATACTTTTACATATAAAATGACAGCGATCTTCATTTCATAGCTATCTCTGACGCCTATTTTTCAATCATATTGTACTATAGTAGATGGTAATACAATACAATCGAAAAAGACGACGCCAAAAATGACTGGGGAATGATAAAATGAAAAACAATAATTTTGGCGAGGTCAAGCCCTGGATATGCCGTACTCTTCTTATTTTTAATGACGCAGTTGGCTTTAAGAAGGTTGTATTTTATTTTTATACCGGGTGCATCTCGAAAGTGGCTCACCCCCTATAATTGTTTTATTTTTTCAGATAAAAAAAACGAGATATGGTATTCATTTATTTTTGGCCACTTCCTGTTTCGCTCCAATGACTACAACTTTTGATTTTTAAATGGCACCCTCGGTATATTTCTATTTTATTTGATAGAAAAATGACACTGAATAGAATGATATATCATATGTCAACTTTTAACATTTTTGCTTTAACGGAAATCGTATTTTAAATTTCTAGCGCCGCGCCATGGTTGTGTTTAAAACGCCAATTTTTAATCAAGGAGCCTTGGAAAATAGATTTGATCGTCTAATGTTTTTCGTTTCTTGTCCTGATCGGTTAAAAGATGCCCAAATCGTATTTTTAATCATATCTCAATTTTTAAAATGGAACAAGGGTGCCTCATTATCATATTTGAACAAAGCATTTTTTTACGAATAATTTGGTACCACACATAATTTGGTATTTCGAAACAAATTGTCTTTATGAACCGCATGTTACATTTCAAATAAACCATATGCGAAATGTCAAAAGTTGACATATGATACGTCATTCTATTCAGAATGGCATTTTCTATCGAATAAAATAGAAATATACCGAGAGTACTATTTAAAAATCAGAAGTTGTACTCACTTCCGGAGAAACAGGAAGTAACCAAAAACAACTGAATACGAATGTCATATACTAGCATACAAAATCTCGTTTTTTATCTGAAAAAATATAAAAGTTATATTTGTGAGCCACTTTTGAGACGCACCCGGTATTAAGTAAAAATGATTTAGTTTAAAATTGGAGAAAAATAAAATTCTTGAAAATAAATTTTTGAAAATAGATGTGTATCTGGAAACGTTCTATCCATTTTAATCTTTCTATAATTAATTAGTGTTAACTTTTGACAAGTGTCAATTTTTAGTAAATTATGATCGATTTCCATTCCCCAGCCGTCTTTAACACCGTTTTTTTTTCGATCATACGATACATCTACATACATATTACATCATACAATGTTATACAGGTTGTAATTAAAAAATTGGGAGAATAAATCTTTTTTAATTTTAGACAGCCCAAGAACATTTAGATGATACAACTGAAAAATACTCAGCTGAAAATCAGTTGCATGTGAGATGGTTTCAAGGAAAATGTTTACTAGATAAATCATGGTGTTAAAATGACATTGATCCAATAGAGAAAAGAATCTTGCCTCAACCACACAGCACATACAGAGACAAAACAGTATTTTTTTAGAAATTTTCAGATACTTTTTGTTTAAAATTTTAAAATTATCCCCTTTAAAATCAATTTAAACAGCCACTACTAGGTTAAAGGTGAGAAAACAAAATATAAGTATTTCAGTCTCTATTATTAAAAATTGGAAATTATTAGATAGATTATACCTATCAATAGGGTATATATTTGTGTACTATTAAAATGAAACCAAATTAATATTTTTGTTTAAATATATATTATATTTATTGTTATTAGTACATTTATTTACCTATCCATTATAAAATGAATCTTTAAATTATACAAAATATAATAGCTCTATAAAGCACTATATAGACTTTAATGTAAATTCTAATAGATATAAAATAAACCTTATTTGCATTATGCAGCAGTTTAATAAAAAATATATACTATATTTATATTTTAGACAGTCATAAAATGTATTTCTGATATATTTAATGATTTAATATTTTAATCACAGCCACACATATTAGTTTAGACTTTCCTAATATCAATCAGTAACTATGATTAGTCTTCTATCTACATATGGAAATAATATAAAATTATCAATACAAAATATTTGAAAATGTATATTTATTCAGAAATAAAACAAAACAGAATTATTTTTAAACATAATTCAATCTAATGAACTAATTAATTCTTCCTGAACTGGCATGCTGAAGTTGTGCTGTCAATACCATAACTTTTTCAGCATACCTTGCATTCTGTTCTTTTAAAAATGTTATCAGTTCAGCCTTAAAATAAAGACATATATTTGAACAAAAATAATGGAATTTTACTTAATTTCGATTAAAAAAACTGGGTTTATTTATATAAATTAAGAGCCATATTAACAAGTGTTTTAAATATACCTGTTTCTCTAAGAAGTCATATACTCTTCCACCCATTTCTTGATAGCCAATTTCATTTTGGCTGAATGTATCTGGGTTAGCTGAAGCTAACCAATCACTCCTTTGAACATCTGGTGGTGCTTTTTCTCTATTGAACTTCATAACTTTTACTATAAATGAAAGAATATATAATAATATAATTGTCCTTTCAAAATAAGTCATAAAATAAATTTATTAGAAAATACGTAATAAAATAAATTAAACTGTTATTATAAAAATACAAAGAAGTGGCCTTGAAATACACATAAATTATAAGCAAAGAAATTACATAAATATAATACTCGCCTATATAACTAGAATTGACTCCAGCAATGACTAAACACTCCAAGGTTATTATGGCACAAAGATTAAACTTTGGTGAAAATGAACCACCCTTTATGCACCTTTCCAAAAAATTATCAGGGTAATAATGTTGCATTAGTGTTTGTACTAGCAAAAGTACTACAGTCCAAAGGCTCACAACTACAAGTGGTACACCCGAGTGAACTTGTGTTGATTTGTGAAAATCGAAATATCCATTTAACCGAATTTTATTATGAAGACATTTTGTCACAAAATGCATTATCTAAAACAAAATATATTTTATCATATTCAATGGGTTAACAAGCCAATCTACTGTAAGATATATATTTTTATATGACCTAATAAATACCCATGTAAAATACTTACCAATGTAACAAACCAGTAAGCAATGTGAAAATAAATTATAATAAAGTATTCTTTACATTTGCTGCCTTCATCGGGATGCTTAAAAGCATAAACTATAGCTACGATATCTAAAATTAATGTAAACAACAAATGAGCACTAAATAGATGGTGAGTTTTCAGAGGTGTAAAACCAACAACCGAATCCAAAATGGGCTGAAGTTGTTGTTGATCTTCCATATTTACCGATTCACTAAAAAATGTTGCACCCTAAAAATTACCAAATTTGTTTTTCAATTTGAGGTTAAAACTAAATAGATAAATATTTACCCCTGAATTTGTGTTTACACTTCTAGATAAGCTTACCATATTGAATCATACTTTTCTATAGGTATTATCATTACTATAAATATAAATTACTTATCTGTGAGTTTATCGCCAAATCGCAAAATCCTATTAATAAACAAAAATTAAATCACCACAGATCCACAGACACATCCACAGAACGAATTCACAATTCACCTTTGAATAAGAAATAAGAAGACGAAGCAGCAATGACTAAAGAATATAAGGACATGGTACAAAGAATACAAGGGATGATATTGCGCAGGTTGGTCGCTACGTCACAGGCAGGGTTCGGAAAACTACATGTTACTTTTAAAAACTACATAAACTACATTACATGTAGTTAATGTAGTTTATGTAGAGGGTGTAGTTTATGTAACCTATGTATGTAACTTTCAAATATCAAAGGTTTGAGGTGAGGTTTTAATAAGTTGAAGCTTTAAAAACACATAATGTATTTAAGAAAACAGAAGAAATATGGCTTTAAATATAATATTTACATCATATTATCTCTATTACACCTCATACAAAGGAAAATTATTCATAATATCAATACATAGTTTATTAAGGTAGTTTTCATGTAGTTAATGAACGGGAAAAGACGTAATTTTTGAAGAAAAACTACACGTAGTTAATCAGGTAAATTACGTCTTAATTAACTACTTCCGAACCCTGATCATAACTAATCATAACCAGGGTTCGGAAAACTACATGTTACTTTTAAAAACTACATAAACTACATTACATGTAGTTAATGTAGTTTATGTAGAGAGTGTAGTTTATGTAACCTATGTATGTAACTTTCAAATATCAAAGGTTTGAGGTGAGGTTATAATAAGTTGAAGCTTTAGAAAACATATAATGTATTTATGAAAACAGAAGAAATATGGCTTTAAATATAACCATTCACATCATATCATTTATACTCCTCATAGAAAGCCAAATTATTCATAATATTAATAGGTAGTTTATTAACGTAGTTTTCATGTAGTTAATAAACGGGAAAAGACGTAGTTTTTGAACATAAACTACACGTAGTTAATCAGGTAAATTACTTCTTAATTAACTACTAACTACTTCCGAACCCTGGTGATAACAGGCGCTATAGCACGCTCCGCGCGCCAGTTCAAATCGTCAAGATATTGTCACGGCATATAAATCACACGGCAGGCTAACTCAGGGGGTGACAGTGAATAGGAAAATTGGAAACAGTCATTAGTGTCATTCCTGTCATTCTCCTCACGACAAGTATGGCCGCCTAGACAAGGACAGCATTGTTTTTGTCTAACTATTGTCTAACTTCACAGTTTAGAATTGACAGATTTCAGTTTCAGAGACAACTTCAGATTTGTTCTAGAACAAATTCGAAAATTGTGTCGAAAATATTCGACGCCATTTTAATTCATTCCGTTTAGTTTCGTTTTGGAAGTTCAATTTAATATTTCGGCTGAAATTTATAATTATAAAGGTAATAAAGTATATAAAATATATATTACATGAAGAATCCTGGAGAAAATGACGTTTCTGCCGTAGTAGGTATGTCCCATGTATATGAAAAATAGGTAGTAAATAAACACTGTTTTTACATTTTTTAGATGCAAGAAAATGGTGTTATAATCTCTTTGATCGGCGATTTTTTTGAAAATGGAAACAATTTACAGCAAGGTAAGATCATTTTTAACTATAGCCAACATCATTTATCTCCAATATGTGCGATTTATTGTCAATAATGCAATAAATCGGACTGATAATCTGATTATGTTATCCGACTAAAAGTCTCTTTTTGCTTCTTTTTGATTTATAAGCCAGGTCTCTTTGGGAATAATGGACGCTTTTTTAAACAGTATATTTATATTTTATACCTATTGATATTTTTAGATTGTTAATTTTAGTATAAAAAAATTTGTTTTTCTGTTTTCAGGTTTTTGTATAAGGCTCCCGTTTTCATGTCCCTGTGTCCGTTTTCTGTCCTTGAAGTCTGCGAATACGTGTGTTTATTTACAAATTACTGTAAGTCATGCTTATACCTTAACTAATTTACGTTAAAAGTACATATAATTAACTAATTGGTATTGAAACAATACAATCCTCTATATTTTTATGTTTATTTAGTCACGTTGTTCCATACTTCAAATAAATATATGTGAATAAATTATTTTTTGGTTTTATTTATGAAAAGAAAAAATACAAAATACATTTGAACTGAAAGAGGGCCCGCCATTAAATAACCGGAAACGGAAGTGAAAATTAAGCCATCATGTCCTTATCATGTCAACCTGTCAATTGGAAAATTAGTTCTCCAGACGACAACTAAGGCTTTCGGTGGCGTATCGTGTTTCCACGATTTAACACAGAGTTGACACTTCTTTCTAGTTAATTATTTTATGGGCTAACTCTGCCCAGATACCATTGTTTTAAATTTCTATAAAATTTGACCTTGAAAACACCATTATGGGTGCCGAGTCAGGGCCGGATTAAAACGTACCAAAAATTTCCCAGAAAAATAAACTATTGATAGACAGGGTCGTATTAAAAAATACTGTAATTGACTGAAACTAAATTTTATTTTATTACCAATACTTTTTATCTAAACAAATGAATCGTTAACCGCGCATACTCCTCGAAAAGTAACAACAATGAAAAAAATCAATTAAAACATTTGAACTGTAGAGAATAGACAATTAAAATTAAAAACATGCCAGGAGTTACAAACAAGAATTGAAGAAATACCCAATAAAATATCTATTGAACAATCTAAAGAGGCTATTGTACAAATTATGTCCATTAATGGACATAGCAAATTTTGTTAATATTCATCATAATATAATAATAATATAATCAAAGTGCAATTTATTTTATAATAGTGGTCGTGGATAATATTGTAGGTTTTGAGGACCAGAAGGGAACAGAGAGTTTAAACCAGCTCGGGTGTCTAATGTTGTTATGGTAAGAGGTATCTCTCACTAATGGAAAGCAGTCCCTAGCTTATTTTATAAAGCTTTTATTTAACTTGCTTTGTATGTATGTTTGTTCGGGGCAAATCTTTAGAAGCACTTCCTTTCATTGTAGGAAATTGAAATTTGGCATGTAGGTTCAGTCCCGATGACAATACATTTTCTTGCAAGTCATGACCCGAATTTTTGACAGCTGTCAAAAAAAATTCAAATTTATCCGATTCATTACAGAATTTTATTTATATTGTTGCGAGCCGGTGTGGACTCGACCTAACCTCACAATATGGCCCGCCCTCGGATGACCTTAACATCGCATAGACACCGCAATGATTCATTCGTTCGAGAAGAATCGAGATCCACTAGAATGGACTAGTACATACGAGAACATTCGATAACTTTCTCTATGCGCCTAACGATCTATGGACTATTCTAGATTTCTTTTGCTGTAGGTATAAAAGCCGGCGGCAGTGGCCTAGAGAGGGCAGTTATAAATATACCAGTGTAGTTGACGCGCTAAAATTCAAAATAAATTCTTAGTTATAAATCGTTTGTAAATAGTTCTATAAGTCTTTTATCGTTATTGTTTTTGTTAATTAGTGTTAAATAAATAGTGTTTAAATAAATTGTGACTTTCTATCCACACGGAACCGACGAAAAACGTAACAATTGGTGTCAAGTGTGGCGTGTGTGATAGACTAGAAAAATAAAAAGACTGAAAATGGCTTCGAAAAAATTGTTGAAGACTTGAAAGTGTCCGAACTGAAATGCATTTTGGAAGAGAGAGAGTGCGAGACAGATGGAAGGAAAAGCATTTTGCAAGCTAGACTGAGAGACGTTTTGGTGGAGGAAGGTGAGGATCCTGACACATTTTGCTTTGAGTTGAAGGTGACCTTGACTCGTGCCTACAAAAATTAGAAAATAAAATGACAGAGAATTCCCTCAAAAAATTAGACGACAACTTGAACAATTTGAATAATAAAATAATTAACTTAGAAGACAGTTTGAAAGATAAGATTATGGAAAATCCTAGGATTTAATTAATATTTTAGAAGATAAGATCGCAGAAAATTCTAAGACATACAGGCCAGCTTTAATAATAAAATACTTAATTTCAGGAAGCAATGTCACGTAAAATGACGTTAAATTCTGGTCAGCAAGTGACGAGATATGACGAATTAAATGACGTAAATATGACGTGAAAATCACTTCCTATCAAAGTCTCAGACGAATGACGTCATATTGCAGACGTCATTTTAACGTAATATTACAGGTAATATTGGGTACGTGGATATTAACGTGATTATATACTAGATACTACTGCAAAGAAAAATGAAACCATTACATTTTTGAAATGCTAATATAGCTACCTATATTAAAACGTACATACATATCAAATATTTACAATTATTATAAATTATATACTATGTATAATTGGAAATGCTACAAAACCTTTTTCCTTAAATGGCAAAACGACACATTTGCCAATAATCCTGGTGATTGACCAGATCTTAAGATCTGATAAATTATTGACAACATATATACTCAATTCACTAGAGGGGTATGGATATGAATATAAATCAGAATAATAAAGAAATTCTTTACCGATAAGGTAAATCTCATTATCACTTGCTTTTATAATATTATGAATTTCAATAACTTTATTATTTCCTTTATCGTTTTGGCACAAGCAATAGCAGTCTGCCTTTGCCTGAGTTATTACTGACAGAGTTGTTTCATGAAAAATAATTTTACCGAACTGTTTATGGTATTTAATTTGTTTATTTAAAACAGGTAACGGCCCTCTCGAGTGTTCTAGAAGAAGTTTAAGATGATTAAATTCAATATTTATTTTTGAAATTAATAGGTCTCTTTCAACTAGCCGACGATGAATTTGTTGTAAAGGATTTGTAGGAGCTTTTACTAAAGATTTTAGTTGTCCTAAATAGTTCTCAAAAGGGAAGGCTGAAAAGTTGTCGAGCACACCAAATATTTCTACATCATCACAAATGTGTGATAACAAATGCACATTATAAATAATAAACTCTTTACCATATATTGTTTTCAAATGTTGAATAAAAACATTTATAATATCTTTTACGAAGAGAACTCCAAATTGTTTAATATGTTTTTTTGACAATAATATAGAGATCGAAAAATGAAATGCAAGGAAATTCTCGTAAATCGCAATATCTACAAGATCTTTTAAAACCAAAGGACCCAAGTAAATTAAAAACATTCTAAACTCGGTCGCTTTCCAGTATTGGAGCTCATCGAGAGAGCGAGGCTTTCGATTAAATTCTACCGGTATATGTGTTTTTAAATCAAGTAGACGTTCAGATATAATTTTTACTTTTTGACTTGGAAGTCTGACTTTTAATGGGCCGCCAATCCAAGTATTTAATAATTTTTTAACAATGCCTAAGCAAATATTATGCATGTAATCGATTGGAAAAGATTTAATCAAATCTATCGGTAATTCAGTTAATGGAGTTTGCGCAATATGATGGTCCTCGTCAAGTTGCTGTCTAAACGCTTCGTCGGTGCGCTTTTGAGATATTAAGCTGTCAAGAACAACTTTGTTCATATAATACTCTCCACGGACGGTGCATTTATCGCAAGAGGAATATCCTGTGTGCGATTTCGTGCACTTTAAGTAAGCTCGTGCAGGAGCATCGCAAATAAAGCTATGCACTTTGATTTCAACATATTCATTTGACCCATTTATAAATCCATTCTGAAGGAAGGTATTTAGTTCTTCTATAAATGGTTTTAAAAATGTATTTAAAGGTTTAGGTTTACTTTTACCACAAAAAACTGCAACTGTAAAAGGATTACTACAGGGAATATTTTTAATTGAACATAAAATCGGCCAAAGTTGTGATTTTGAACTTTTAAATAACGGAATACCATCAACATTAAAACAAAGCTGAATTTCTCCATTAATTGAACTATTTGACACAATTTTTGATATAACATTTTTTAGGCCAAAATAACAAAATTGACCAGTTTCCAAAGTAACGATGTCAGTTGAATTAGGAGTAGCTAGCAAGGTTCGGCTATCTAAAGGTAGTTCAGGATGGTAAGGCGAAAGTATGTGGAGAAGGTCAGTTAAAGCAGAGTGTGTTATTTTATGTTTCACAGTTGCCCATTCAACTAACTGCTGACAAAGCTTTGTATTTTCTTGATGTGAATCGTCTTGGTCAGAAATTGAGGATGATGGAGAATTTGAATAGATGAAGTGTCACTACAATCAGTATTATTTAAAGTTTGTGACTGAACAATTTCTAAACTTGAAGTACTATTATCACAGTTTGGTATAATGTTAAAAGTATTACTATCTACCTGAGCATATTCACTAAGATTATTGGCAACAGTGTCCTTACAACTATCTTTATCTTGTAAAATATTTTGTGCAAATTGTTGTGAAGCTATTAAAGCCCTCCTAGATTTTTGCCTTGCACCAACAAATTCTTTCGGTTTTCGTTTTGACATTTAAAAAAATAATAGTAAATGTTACTTGCACTTACATTAGGTAATAATAAAATAAATTAAGGAGTAAACTTTTGTCCTTGCTTATGCTTCTTTTCCATTCTCTGCTTAGCATGCTTCAACCAAGTTTTTACTGCATTCTCAATAACCACTGTAGTTGTAGATGGAGATTTAATCTGTATGGCGCCTAGACATAAGAAAAATGTTTATGCTATATTCATATTTTTTAGTCGTCTACTTACGTATGATGACATTCACTAATTTTGTGTTTCCGAAAGCTTGTTTATTTCGTTGCCCGGCAAAATTATAATGTGTAGCTAAAAAATCTGACATGACCATTCTCAAAATTCTATTGACCTGAGCAGGGATTCCATTACCCCCTAGCGTTGAAAAATATGAAGCCTAAAATAGAAAATTAATCATAAAAAACTAGGTACTTAATATGTCTTGCTATAATGACAAAAATACTAAATAATACAATAATAATCATTACCAAATCATTGGAACTGTCCTCCTGTGAATTTAGATACTCCTCCAAGGTTTGCAAATTAGCAATACTTTCCAGAGGAAATTCCACTGGAATATCAGGTAAACAAGAAACAGTAGTTATGTTCCTTGTTTGTTTAAGTAATCCCTTAACCTCTTTTATTTCTTCCCTTAATTTTCTCACCTCTTTAAAAATTTTGTCCAAACCTAAAATAGAAAAAAAAAACAGATAGTTAATGCAATAGACCCACAAAAAAATATTATACCATTAGCAGACACAGTTATGGTTCTAGTCTCAGTTCTATTACTGTCAGATAAAGTTGATTGAATACAAGGTGTCAAAGTTATATCTTGATCTTCATCAATAAGTGATGGTGATGACACATCATGTGACACATTCAAATTTTCTCTCAATGTTTGGGTATTGGGAGTAATTTTGTTGGATACAGAAATATCACTATTGGAACCCCTAGCTGATGGGGTTTTCAATGTTTTCTGACAATTTGAGTCATCTGTTTAGAAATAGTATGTATTTATTAGATTCAAGACATAACAGCAATAAACATCCCTGTAAACTGCCAAAATGTTTGTTGTTATTTATATTTACCAGGTTTTACTTTTGGAAAAGTAGGCGGCCTTGGAAATTTTGAAAGTGGTTCATCCTCTTCACCTTCACTGGTGGAATAATCAGATAAATACCTCTTCACACTGAATTTTTTTCTAGTGCCCAAGGCTGAGTCAGATTCTGATGACTGTATGTCTGATGTTTCTTCACACTTTTTTAAATTCTTTTGAGCTTTTTCTAAGCTGTCTGTAAAAAAATTAAATTAATTAGGCGAGGTGCACATAAAGTTAGAAATACTTATGGCAAATATACAATCTAATTCTGACTTTTACTGCAAAAAAAACTATTTGTTACCCAGGTTTTTGTTCTGAAAATTCCAAGGAAAATACAACCTAATAAATATTATTTTATATAATGCTTCCTATAAAAATCCCATATGTATATGGTTAAACCTGATTGAAGTTTGAATTTTGATGATATGATGTTACATCATAGTGCTGCCACCAATAAATTCCATTAGAATATGCTTAGTGACATAGATGACGTAACAACATACCTTCAGAATTTAAACTTAGGTACTCAAAGTGTAACATTTTACACCAGAGATTAGATTAATAAATTACTAAGAAAAAGCCAAAGATTTCTAGATTCAATTTCAAAAACTATTAAAGATATTATACACACCACATTCAAAAAACAAACGTTTAACAGGATATAATTTCCAACTACTCTGACTAGGTTCTTCAGGAGTAGAAATTGCTCTATTGAAAAGATTAGATGTTTTATAAGGTGGCCAAAATGCCTCTTTCTTCAAAGGGGTAAGCCACGACGAGTGGACCAAACCTATTCCACCATTGTCTAAAAATTCCACTCCCACATAAGTCATCTTGTATGGATAACGTACACTACAGATTTATTCTAAGCCAACACCAACACTACAAAAATAGAAAAAAAATCCAAACAAAATACAAATTAAACACAAAAATTTAAGAATTAGGTAATTTAGGGGTAACCAATTTAGGTATACTTAGTGACGGAGAGATAATTGGAATCACCGATGCCCCGTAGCTTCAGATTCGTTGGTCAGATAATATATACACTTACACCTCGACTTACTTATACATCTGATAAATTGAATTGTTCTATGATAAACAAATAGGTATAGAAAACGTCTTGAGATAAAATGTATTGATTTACAACTATACGGATAGCCCTCAGGATATCATTACATTAGATACTTCCTTAAAAGTGTATGGAGACTCTTTGATTGACTACATAATGCCCAATTAAATTGAAAAAATTGTAAATATTATACTTATAATTTATAATACTTACCAGAAAGGTGACCCTGCACTTATCTACAAGAATATAGAATATAGTAGCACCTAGCACCGAAGATCAACAGTCACAGCAATACTAATCCTTTGTCCTTTGTTTATCTATTTAATATCAAACCGCCATTCGCCATTCCATAATCAAAAACCACATGAAGACGGGAAATTGGTATTAATCACAGGTATTAATTATTATTTCGTTCCGTTTTCCCTCCAAACCACTCAGCCCCACGCCACGATCATAACCTCACAATTTTTCAAAACCAAAAACGTCAAATATCAATTAAAGTAGTTGATCGGTTAAAAAATACGGATAAAAATCGAACGAACTGAGTAGTAGAATTTGGTATATATCGCGCGAGGTTAGAAAACATTAATTTTATCGTGAAAAAGCAATAAAAAATTCATAATGTTCTTATACATATTATATCACCCGAAAATCACGTTAAAAAGACGTGATATGATATTACATCATTTTGGCGTCATTTATCTGACGTCATTATATTATCAATTTCTGGTTATTTTGGAATACATGACGAGTATTGACGAGTTATCACCATATAATAACGTCATTGTGACGTGCCCTGCTACCTGGGGTTAGAAGAAAAGATAACAGAAAATTCCAGGGAATTAGAAGAGAAGATAACAGATACACAAGACAAAATAACAGAGATTGAGGAAGATGTAAATAGAAAAATCGAAATTTTAAGAGAAGAAATAGCGAAATCAAATTCACCAAAATGTCAAGAAACATCGGAGGGGCCGAAACTAGTCGAAAATAAGTATATCTCAAAGTCAGTTATTAAGCCTCCACAGTTTGACGGAAAAACCGCTTGGGCTAATTATTTTTGCCAGTTTGAGGCCGCTGCGAGAGCGAACGGATGGACAATCGCTGAAAAGGCTACCGCTTTGACTGTCGCACTGCGAGGAGATGCGACTGATATTCTGCAGACATTGTCACCATCGGAACAGGGAGATTATCAGCAATTGGTACGACATTTAGAAATGAGGTACGGCCAGCTCATTTGGAACATGTCTATCATTCACAGCTAAAAAATCGCATTCAAAAGTCAAATGAGTCTCTGCAGGAGTTTGAAGCCGACGTAGCCCGCCTGGTTCGCCTTGCGTATCCTGCTACGCCCGAGAATGTTATGGAGCGGTTGGCAGTACAGACATTCTCCGATGGCTTACGTGACAGGGAGACAAGGCAAGCGCTTCTTCTAGCCCACCCAACGCGCTTGGTGGATGCTTTAGCACGTGCCCTAGAATTTGAGGCCGCGAAACAGTTCTCGGTCTCTAGTGAGAGTACGGGCGGTCAACCAATGTTCCGACAAATCCGTGGAAAGCATTGTACGGAAAGTCATGGAGGAGTACATGGGCAAGAAAGGACCGACTTGTTGCTGGAATTGCGGCCAGGCAGGACACGTAAGAAGTCACTGTCAAGAAAAAGACGTGGACTCGGTTTCGCCAAGTGTCGAATCAAAGGGACACATATGGAGCAGTACCCAACAGGTTCCAACGAAAACTGTTCAAGTCGCATCGCTACAACACAAGTTCAACAGCATTTTTGTGGCTAGTTTCGTGGATGGAGAGTTACGGACCATGCTGTTGGATACGGGTGCGACCAAAACGATCATCAGGCCGGATATCCTTAAAACATCAAAAAGGATTAAAACAACACAATGGCGACTACGTACAGCTACAGGAAGCTGCGCTCTCATCCATGGAGAGGTAGATCTTAATTTTGTTATCGGAAGCACCTGTTTTAATCATCGAGTGTTAGTAGCAGACATCGAAGATGAACTTATTCTCGGAATGGACATCGTGACCACTAGAGGTTTTGAACTAAACCTCAAACAAGAAATTTTGAAAATAAATGAAGAAGAAGTGGTTCTACATCGAAAATGTGAGGAGACGCTTCGCGTGGTAGTAGCAGAAGATGTTTCGATCCCTGAGCGCTGTGAGATATTTTTGGATGGTCGCCTGGAAGGTAAAACGAATAATGGGAGTATTATTCTGTTGGAGCCAAGGAACCATGACAGCGAAATAGGACGAGGGGTCGCTGTTGGAAAACCCCTGCTACGAGCGAAGAAGTCTGTACCGGTAAGAGTAATGAACACGAATTATCATTCTGTATCCTTGAAGAAGGGAACCCTGTTAGGGTACTGTTGTTCGGCCTCCTCAGTCATTCGAAGCGTGGAAGCCTCCAAAGTTTCGATTTCAAAAATTCCGGACAAAATGGTTAAGGAGTTAGTAAACGTTAAGGGATTATTTCCCGAAGATAGTAGAAAATTGAGAAACCTGATAATCAAGTATCAAGATGTGTTTGATAAAGGAGAAGCAGGACATAGAGGTCGTACCAATTTAGTACAACATAAAATTGACACCGGAGATGCACGACCAATCAAACAAAATCCGAGTAGACTGCCGCTCGCCAAACGTGAAGAAGCTGACAAAATCCTTCGAGAAATGAAAGAAGAGGGTGTCATCGAACCATCTAACAGCCCGTGGACATCGCCGGTAGTACTAGTAAAGAAGAAAGACGGTACCACCACGTTCTGTGTTGATTATCGGCAGCTCAATAATGTTACAAAGAAGGATAGCTATCCCCTGCCGAGGATAGACGATACTCTAGACACGCTGGCGGGGTCGACGATATTCTCTACTTTGGATCTGAAGATATTGGCAAGTCGACATGGCGCCAAGACAGAGAGGAAACAGCGTTCTCGGTGGGCTCCGGACTGTGGCAATTTACTGTCATGCCTTTTGGATTGTGCAACGCGCCAGCTACCTTTAAGAGACTAATGGAGTCTGTGTTAAAGGGACTATCCTGGACTACCTGTTTCGTGTACCTGGATGACATCATAGTGGTTGGGAAATCCTTTGACGATCATCTGAAGAATTTGGAAGAAGTTTTCAAGCGACTAGGGAGCTCTGGTTTGAAACTTAGCCCCAAGAAATGTCATCTGTGTCAAGAAAAGGTACACACTACTTGGGCCATGTAGTCTCCTCCCAGGGAGTTGCGGTAGATCCACAGAAGACCAAGACAGTGGAAGAGTGGCCGATACCCAAAGACAAACATGAACTACGAAGCTTTTTGGGACTATGCACATACTATCGCCGCTATGTACAAGGTTACGCCACCATCGCAAAACCATTGACCAGACTTACCGAAGACGAAAGGCGTTTCTCTTGGGACTCAGATTCTGACGAGGCATTCCGAAGATTGAAGGCCCTGACTAGTGCGCCCATACTTAGCTATCCTCTTGGCAACGGAAACTTTATATTGGATACCGACGCTAGCAATGTTGGGTTAGGCGCCGTTCTGTCTCAGATCCAGGATGGTCAAGAAAAAGTAATTGGTTATTTTAGTAAGACCTTGTGAAAACTGGAAAGGAACTACTGTGTAACCAGACGAGAATTACTAGCAGTAGTTAAAGCAGTGGAACACTTCTACAAGTATCTCTATGGAAGAAAGTTCTTGTTAAGAACAGACCATGCTGCTTTGAAATGGCTGTTGCAGTTTAAGAATCCTGAAGGGCAGATAGCTAGATTGAACGATTACAAGAATTTGACTTCGACACAGAACATCGAGCTGGAGCAATCCATCGAAATGCCGACGCACTTTACAGAAGACCTTGCGCTAAGGACTGTAAGCATTGTTCCCGAGCAGAAGAGAAAGAAGTGAAACTCCTAAGAACAACTGTGGTTAATGATAGTTGGCAACCCGAAGATCTTGCAAATGACCAAACCAGTGACCCAGAATTAGGTTTAGTAATTAACTGGAAAACCCCAGGCCAAAGACCAACATGGGAAGAAGTTTGCAGATATTCGCCGAACGTAAAGACGTACTGGGCCCAGTGGAATTTCTTGGTAATAGATAACGGACTACTTCGCCGTGTGATCGAGAGACCGGAGGGACAAAAAGAGAGAAGGCAGATCGTCATTCCAAAGAAGAGGGTCCCAGAAGTCTTGGAGGAAGTTCACAATGGAACCAGCGGTGGACATCTTGGTGTTAGCAACACACTTGGCAAGCTGCGTGAACGGTTCTACTGGGTGAACTGCAAAAAGATGTGAGGGCCTGGTATAAGAAATGTGACACTTGCGCAGCCCTCAATGGGCCATAAAAGCGTGGTAAAGCCCCTATGCGCCAGTACAATGTTGGCAGTCCCTTCGAACGAATACCGATCGACGTGGCTTGTCCTTTTCCGGAGACGAACGATGGCAACAAATACATTGTGGTACTAATAATGGACTAATAACTACTAATGGATTACTTCAGCAAATGAGTCGAGGCCTACGCGTTGCCAAATCAAGAAGCGTCCACCGTTGCTGATGCCCTTGTTAAAGAATGGATCTGCAGGTTTGGTGTTCCCATGGAGCTTCATTCAGATCAGGGAAGAAACTTTGAATCCAATCTGTTCCAAGGCGTCTGTGAAATCCTGAACATCCGAAAGACCAGGACGACTGCTCTACATCCACAATCCGATGGGATGGTTGAACGCATGAACAGAACTATCAACCGTTATCTGGCCAAAATAGTCTCTGACCACCAAAGAGACTGGGACAAATTTCTTCACCTGTTCCTGTTGACCTACCGTTCATCCATCCAAGAATCTACGGGGCAAACTCCAGCCAGCATCGTTATGGGACGGGAAGTGCGCCTACCTTGTGATCTGAAATTTGGTTGCCGACCGGGAGAAGAAGTCGCGGAGAAGATTATGTCCACACACTACGTCAAAGGATGGACGACATTCATCAGAGAGTCCGCCTAAATATTCAAAGTGCTAGTGACCGAATGAAGGAACACTACGACATTCAAGCTGAGCATGGAGGATACCAACCAGGGAAGTTGGTGTGGCTATATAACCCGCAGAGACGT